TCTTTCCCCTCTGAGCACAGTGCAGTGGCAGCAAAGCCTCTCCTGCCACTGTGCCTGGTATGAGGGAGTGACAAACTGGGAGACTTTCCCTTTTGAACAAGTTCTGGACAGCCAAGGCATGGGAAGGCAAGGTGCAGGTGCGATGCCTGTGTTTTTTTACTTCCCAGGGTTACTTGAGTATCTTGGGAATGTTTAGACAGAGATTCTCAGACCGTTCAGGTGACAAAGAGATTTTTCTTGGCCGTGCTTAGTAGGTGAAAGCAGCCAAGAACATCTTCAGCTTGAGAAAAATAGACTAAAAGAGAGAGAAGAAAGAATAAAGCCCAAACCAAAGGCATTCAGAATTTGGACCTTACCATCCCAGCCAGGATGAGGCTGGGGGTCTTCCAGAGTCTTTGGAGGGGCAGCAAAGGGAATCCCTCTGAAGATGTCAACGTAGCTCCCAAAGAGTCCCAGTTTCTTGTTCTCGCCTTCCACAAATCCTCCCTCAGTGAACACCACACCCAGCTACAGGAGGAGAAAGGAAAATCAATTTCTCTGTCCTTCAAAACTCTGGCTTCCCACACTGCCATTCATTCCCATCCCACCCTCCCCATCCCTGCCCTCGGTGCCTTGTGGAACAGCCACAGGTGCCACCGGAGCTGTGTCTGTGCAGGCGTCCTGCAGGTGCCCTTGGGAGCAGAGAGGCAGCAGCAATTCCCCCACAGTCCCAAAGACAAATGGCAGGAGGAGAAAACCTTCATCTTTAGGGTGCAAAGCTAGCCTTTGTACTTACGGTGGCAGCCCAGGCTACCCCGAGGTAGGAGCACAGGGCCAAGGCCAGGATGTGCCAGCGAGCCATGGTGAGGGCAGCTCTGAGGGGACAGTCCCAGCTGGAGGGCTGTGTTTATAAAGCCACGAGTGCAGGTGTGTGCCAATGCCATGGGCCAGGCTTGGCTCAGAGCTAAAGCAGGGCAGCCTCCACAACCTTGTCCTTCAGTAGCCTCTCCACGTCTGATGGACATGGTCGTGTGAGAGCCCTGCAGGTGCTGCTTGTTTGGGCTGGAGGCCAAACCAAAGGAAATTGCTCAGTCCTAGAAAACTCCAGAGAAATTATTCCCATTGGAGTCTTGAGAAGCCTCATTCAAGCAAAGGGGGCTGAAATCATATTAAGCTGTGCAGTAGAACATATTATCAGCAACCTGTGAGAAGCCTTGCATTCATAACACCCTCGGGAATGAAAAAGATTCAAAATGACAGGAAGTCTTAAAGTTGATTTGATCCAACAGCAGCCAGATTGCTCATCGAGTTCACACATAGTCCAGAATTTCTGTCTCCATTTCATTGCCCCCTCTATCAGAAAGCTTGAAGTTTCCTTCCTCCTCATATCTCTGCAGGCTCATGGCAGCAGCTCTTTGACATCTTCACTCCTTGTTGTGTTTGTCAGAGAGAGAGGGGAATGGACAGATACAAACAATAGCTTTGAAATTTATCTCCAACAGAAAACTCATCTGTCAGTGTACAATACCTTTCCACATTTAATCCCAGAGCTGGTAGAACATCTGTTGATAAGAGAAACAAAGAATGAAAGGATTCTTGTGAATTTTATGGTGAAATGAGAGTCTTCATAGGAACATGCAAAAATGGAGTTTGTGTTCCAGCTTTTAAAAAGGGACTCAGCTGGGTCAGCAATGGGTTGGTTTAACTTTGGCCCAACCTCCCTTGATAACACACTGGTACCATAAAAGACTCTCATGGAACCACTGAAGAAAGAAAGTTTTAAAAATCCATTCAAAGCTACATCCATTTGCACACTGACAGAGGAGCTCTGCCCTCACTGGCAGAAAACCCTCCAGCACTCAGGAATGATCTGTATGAAATGTGTTGGAAAGGATTCACCCTCTGCATTTGCTCTCTTGGAGCTGCTGCAGCTACTCACTGGGACAGGGGCAAAGCAAGAGGGAACTGCAGGTACTCACTCAATCTGGAAATTTCATTTAAAAAGTGCCGGTGAAGGCCAACAGTGAGAAAATGAAAGATGTTTCTTGTGGGAGATCTCCCAGATTGTTCTTCTGGCAAAGCCAGCTGGGGCCAGGAGAGCACAGGAGCACATGGCATCGATCCCTGGAAACCCTGCCCTTGGCCCTGCTCCTCTGGAAGCAGGCAGGAGGATGGTTCTACTGCAGGGGCTCCCTGACCCTGGCTCTCCCCAGGGGTGGGCTCCCCATCCTCTGACCTCTCTGCATGGAGAACCTCAACACACACACCAGGGTCCCATCCCCTGTGACACCCTGTGCTCTCCTCCCAGCATCCACAGCCCTGATGTCCCACACCAGCCCTGGGTTCTCCACACCAGCCAGGCCTGGGGGGCAGTTCCAGCACAGCTGGGCCCCCCTGCTCTCCTCACAGGGTAGCAGGGCCTGGACAGACCAGGTCCAGTGTATGGTGTGTGGATGAGGACATGTGGTGGACAAGGTTCGTAGAAAGCTGTGCTCCTTGTCCTGCCCTGCTCAGAGCTGCAGCTTCTCAGCCCAGTCCAGCCCAACCTCTGCCCCAAAACCAGTGGGGAATCACCACCCCCATGGATTTATTCTGCCCCATCAGTTCCTGAGCAATGTCAGTGCATGATAAACAGCAGGTCAGGGCTGGTTTCCATTCACCTGTTGCAGCTGTAGCTCTCTATGATCTGGCTGGCAGTAGCAGGAGCCTTGTTGGTGGCACAGAGAAATCCAGAGGACAGGTGAGGATTGGGGCTGTCCTGCCTGGGCTCACAGGGGCAATGAGGAAAAACAACCCCAGGGCCAACAGCTGGCTGAGCAGGGAGAGACTGGACTCCAGCAGATCCCTGGGACAGTGGGGTGTCACAGCCAGGGGAACACACAATGGATGCCCACAAAATGGATGTCCTTTCCTGCCTGACCTTAATGTTGGCAAGAAAATCCTGTCATGGCAAACAAAATGAGAACCAGAGTCACTCAGCTACAAGCCTTTAATGCACTGTCTTTAAAGGTTCAGAACATTAACTCCGACTGGGAGATGTTGGCAACCTGCGGCAGCTTCAGGTAGACCGAGTTCCAGAAGGTCACAAACCGGGACCTCAGGTCCTGCTTCACAGAGTTCTTGTTCATCTTGTGGTTGATATCCAGGTAGTATTTGCCATTGTTGGTGTAGGCTGGCCAGGATACAGGCACGTCTGAATACCCTTTGTTAGGATCACTGGGGAAAAAGGAGACACAGAAGCTCAGTTTCATCAGGCAGCTTGAGGATGCAGTTTAATGCATGACCATGCAGAGTGTTTGCACTGGGAGAAGCAACAGGACTTCTGCCTGCCAGCAATGAGTGGATGACCCTCCATCTCTACTGGCATCATGCCAGCTTCAGACAGGGACTTGTGTCCTGTCTGAACACAAGGATTCAGCAGTAAAACTCATCAAGTGGAAGCAGAGATCATAAGTCATGAAAATGCCTCTGCCTTCCCCAAGTGTGCCATGGATGAGGAGAAGCCAGAGCAATCTCCAGCCGCGTTAGACACAGAGCCCTGCTCACAACACAAAGACAGAGAACTTCTGGGAATGATCCTGAAAAGTTACTGGACAAAACCAGCAGCCTGAAGGGCTGCATCAAATCACAGATCACTCACCCAGTTCTAGCAAAATTGGTCCAGTAAGCAATCATGGCCTTTGAGAGAGTCCTGTACTTAGGCCAGTAGCCCAGTGGAGTGGCAAAGGGCTTCCCAAACACGTACTGCAGGTCATCAGCATGGTCTGCACCCACCCAGCGCGGGTAGATGGGCATGCGGGATGGCTCGGAGAACAAGTAGCTGTAGGTCTTGCCACTCCTGGGAAATCAAAGAGACTGGCTTTAAGCAAGGAGAAAGCAGAAAAAGGACTGCAAATCCCAACCAACACTCGAAAAACCATCAGGGCCACAGATTCAGAATTGGAAGATGCTCACATGCATAATCTCATGTTGGGTGGTTTCAGGAGAAAAGATCCTGAGGCCATTTTTAACTTCCATTTCCAATTCTCACCCTAACCCTCCTCCATGTGCAACAACCCCAGGGCTGAGCTGCTCACTTGGCATTCTGCAGGTGCAGATCCAGTGCCACCTGTGTGGGAATCAGGAAGATGTAGTCAGTGATCAGGTCCACCACTGTCTTCTTCACGACCTCCTGCTCGGGTTTGTCACCCCAGCTCTGTGTGTAGATGTTGTAGGTGGCATTGGCTCCAGCCTCGCCCCTGTCCACGGTGAGGCCTTTGACCAAATTGTACACCTGGTTACTGAAAAGACAAATGACATTCATTAATTACTGACCAGCAGCTTCAGGTAGGGCAGGTAGGACCAGGTCTTGCCTGGTCCTTTCTCTTGAAGGCTCTGGACTCGGCAACAAAAGGCCTGGTCACCCAGGCTTGGAGTGACATCCTGTGTGGAAGGTTGTGCCCTGTCCACTCAAGTCTGACTCCGTGGGGTTTGGGAGCTACACTGAGGAGCAGATGTCTCCTGCTGAGGGTTCTGAGGGCATCTGTCACTCACGCAGTGACCTTCACCAGCGGGCGGTTGATGGCGGGTAAATCCACACCGGCAAACATGTGTCCATCCATGTTATTGACCCCAGCCAGGTAGTCGATGTCAGCAGCATTGGCAAAGAGCTTCTCTGGCACATCTGGGAGGAAATCCCCATCCACAACTGGAGAGAGGGCGAGGGTGTGTACCAGGGGCACTGCAAGAGACAAGCGTGGGGTCTGTAAGATGGCAAGGAATCACAGATGTGTGCTCTGGCATATCCCAAGCAAAGGCTGAGGTGGGCAGTGTTCATCAGGTGCAATGTGCATCTGCCCACAGAAAGGTGACTGCAAGAGCTCTCATTAATGTCCCTTTTCTGAAGGGCACAAGCACCACCACAACACTCCTGGCAGTTGACCCAGTGTCCTGCAGGAGATTTGGAGAGCCCAGGGTGCCTGATAGACCAGAGCACAGGCCAAGGCACTTACTGGACAGGTGGGTGAGCTGCAGGTGGTAGGCCAGGGTCAAGGCTTTGGGGTCAGAGATACGGAGGCAGTTGGCCAAGTCGGCGGTGTTGTCTGTGGGGCAGCCCACCTTTTCTCCAAGCTATGGCAGAAACGAGAGTGAAACATCCTAGCATTACTTCCAGAGTCAGAAGCTGTTTTTATGCAGATATGTGGGTTAGTTTTAATTTCAGTTTAATCTCAAAGCAGCAACTTTCCACAGTGCTGTTAGGCACAGCTCCTGACCAACCCCTTCCTGGCCCTGCTCTCCTCTAGGGAATTGGTTTCTTTCTTTTTATAGTTTTGCAGGCATGATTTTGCACATTACCTTTTTGGCCCAGACGAGCGGGTCCCTCTGGATGGCCCAGCCGCAGACCCCAACACCACTCTGGCTGATGGCTCTCTTGAACAGACCCTTGTTCTTTGGGGACAGCGTCTGGGGGGCAAAGCAGAAACAAGAGAGGTTTGGGTAAAAACTCTTGAGTAAACCATGGCCTGCCAGAGCCCACTGGTAACCTCATAGCTTGTACACCAAGCCTGGGGAATCAGCCAGGTCTTGTGGTGTTCAAAAATGTCAGGAGTTAATGTTCGAAGGTGAGATGCTGAGAAGAGGAGGGGGACATGGAAAGTAAAGGCTGTTCTTCAAAGTACAGAAGGTACCATGGAGAAAAGAAAATCCATTGCTCTGTCCTTCAAAACTCTGGCTTCCCACACTGCCATTCATTCCCATCCCACCCTCCCCATCCCTGCCCTCGGTGCCTTGTGGAAAGGCCACAGGTGCCACCGGAGCTGTGTCTGTGCAGGCGTCCTGCAGGTGCCCTTGGGAGCAGAGAGGCAGCAGCAATTCCCCCACAGTCCCAAAGACAAATGGCAGGAGGAGAAAACCTTCATCTTTAGGGTGCAAAGCTAGCCTTTGTACTTACGGTGGCAGCCCAGGCTACCCCGAGGTAGGAGCACAGGGCCAAGGCCAGGATGTGCCAGCGAGCCATGGTGAGGGCAGCTCTGAGGGGACAGTCCCAGCTGGAGGGCTGTGTTTATAAAGCCACGAGTGCAGGTGTGTGCCAATGCCATGGGCCAGGCTTGGCTCAGAGCTAAAGCAGGGCAGCCTCCACAACCTTGTCCTTCAGTAGCCAGTCCATGGCTGATAGGCATGGTCGTGTGAGAGCCCTGCAGGTGCTGCTTGTTTGGGCTGGAGACCAATATCCTCAGGTATCTTTTCTGTTTTCCACATGGCCACCATCCTGATCAGACTATACTTCCCACACTCAGTGAGATTTGGGTTGCAACATCTCTGTTATTTTTCCTCTCTGGTGTATTACCAGCTCTTTTGGATGCTTGCATCTCTCTTGGGAGCTTCTTCAGCTTCCTCGAGGACTCATTAGCCAGTTATTATGAAAATGCAGACACCCATTTATCCACAGCATTGGTGAACACTTTCTTCCAGGTCTGGACAGCAGCATTCAGTGGTTTAGTTGAGTTTTCTTCACCACAAAGATGGCATTCTGTGGGTGACAGTTCCTGCTGAGGCCAATCAGGTTCTCACCCCAAAACAGGGAATTGTTATATCACTCTCTAAGAAACAGGGAAGGGACCAGGTTTACAATTTGCCTGTGGCTCACACAGACATGGGGCTGTCACTGGAACATGTGAAAATGAAGTTTGTACTCCAGATTCCAGAAGAGAAGGGACTCAGCTGAGTGACCAGTGGGTTCATTTATCTTTAGCCCAACCTCTGCATCAAGAGCCAATGCAAGAGGAAAATTCCATTAAGATTTTTTTTTTCCTTTAAAAAGTACAGATGAAGGCCAACAGTGAGAAAATGAAAGATGTTTCTTGTAGGAGATCTCCCAGATTTTTCTTCTGGCATAGCAAATCAGGGCCAGGTGTGCACAGGAACACTTGGCATCTATTCGTGACAGAAAGCCAGGTTTGCTGCATCCCAGCATGTGTGGGTTGTGCTGGGAGGGGCAGTGCTCTTCACCACATCCCCAGGTCCTCTCACCTCAAATGGACTTTTGCTGGAGTGGCTCTTGCCAGGCAGCTTCTCCCTGTGCCTCCTCTGTTGTGCCAGACCTGAAGGGATAAATCAGAACAAGGCAGCAGCTTCAGCAGCTGGAGGTCTCCAGCCCATCTCCCCCTATTTCTGAGCCCTCCCTTTCCCACAGGGATCCAGCATGTGGGACATCTCTGGCACAGCTGAGCCCTGTGTCCCCCACCACTGTGGGGTCTTTGAGTCAGGGGTGGTGGCATGTCTGTGTGTCTGTGTTACAGCTGCTGCTCTTTTTCCTGCTCATCTCAGCAAGGTGGGAACTGTGTGTGTTCTAGTGTGAGAGCTCTGGCATGGGGTGGAAACAGAACCAGCCCCAAATACCCAGGAGTCAGCCTCCACCCACAAAACCATAAGCCTGGCTTAGAAGTTGTGATTAATGATAAAAAGAACTGTTTTCAGCCTGTAGGGTGCAGCAGTAGCACATTTTAATGGAAACAAAGAATACCAGCTTGGAAGGGATCTCAAGGATCACCTGACCCAACCTCCCTTGGCAAAAGCCCGGTCTAGTTAAGACAGCCCAGCACCCTGTCCAGCTGATCTGAGAAGTATCATGTGTTGGGGAAGCCACCACTTCCCTGGGGAGGTTATTCCAATGACTGATTGCTCTCACTGCAAAAAATTGTCCTCTAGTATCCAATTGTATCTCCCCGGGAGTCACTTGTACCCATTACCCCTCGTTTTTTCCACGTGACTCCTCCTAAAGGGAGTCTGCATCTTCTCTGTAGCCACACTTTAAACGTTTGAACTTGATGATAAGTTCATCCCTTTTCAGGTGGGCTGGCACTGGGGTTCTAGAGCTCACCTGAGTATTGTCAGACCTGAGGGGGGACTCCCAGAGCTGTGAAAGCAGGTGGCAGCACAGCACAGGGAAATAATTTCAAAGGAGCCACCCCTGGCACTCTTTACACAGCAACAATATCCCGGGTGAGCTCGAGGGGAAAGCCTCTGGGTTGTGCCATGGTTTTTCTGTATTTCCCAGGGAACAGCAGCAGTGTAAGTATGTACCCCAGACCCCTCTGGAACAGTTTATCCATCCCATATGTGTCCACAGTTCCTGAGCTTCCCCTTCCTTCTGTGCTTGCTTTTTGTGTTGAATTAATTCAAGGGGGAGGCTGCATCTCTCTCACAGATCCTGGAGGACTCACTGGGCTGAGAGATTCCCCAAATGTGGCACGAGCTCTCCATAAATTCCAAACACTTATTTTCCCTAAGATATCATGGCATTCTTGGAAGACTGGGCTTTGAGTAGAGTGGAATGCCTTTATAGAGGAAATACTACATCTCCTAGCTGAGGTCTGGCTGGAGTTTCTTTCTTACTTTTTATTCTATAGAGCTGTTACACTGATCCTGTGTTTCACCTCAAACAGGAAACAAAACATTTATGGAAAAGGTCTATGATATAAAAATATGATGCAGTGGCCAAAGCTGTCAGAAGTTAAAACATTACTTCCAACTGCCCTCTGCTAATGACTTGCATCCTTTTTTCCAGGAACAGTGACATTCAAAGTGCCTGGCAAGGGGTTTCCAGATTATTGGAAGTTTTGGTTACAGAGAGCAGAAACTTCTTCTGAAAATAGCTTTCTTAGGGGAACTCTGTTCCAGTGTAAACCAGAATGGACTGTTCACTTCTCATCTATACCAGTAAAAATCCCTATCAGCCCTGTGCAATGCCCAGATAGTAGAGGGTAGAATATGCTTCATTTCCTTCCACATTGTGTTCTCTTACTCTTAGCAATGTTCCACAGCATTAAGTATCCAAACTACAACACTTTTTTTCATGTTATTATTGCTTCCCTTAAAAAAAACCTCTTGTCTTTATTGGGCATTTTCATCCTTGGCTCGTGTGACTTCACCAACTTTTATCTCCCTCCTTCGAGCCGCAGCCTTTCCCCACTCATCTTTGTAATCTGACATTGTGATTTGTTCACTTGTGTGCTTGTTTTTCTCCTCGAAGAAGATTTGCTGAATCATTGGGGAGGAGGCAAGAGCTGTAGAGGCAGCTGGTGGCCAGTGATAAAACCAGGGCCACATCCAGCCTTCAGGGTTTGCAGGTGACAGCCCTTCAGTTGAAGGCCTGAGTCACATTCCTTCTGAGCTAAGATTGCTGGGCACTTGGGGATTGAGGAAGAGAGGATGAGGAGGTGGTACCCCCAAAGCAGAAATTATTGTTCCTGCTGACTACAAAGTTTGTGTTGTATCCTCTGCAAAATTAATAATGATGCTGTGAGAAAACTTGCAGGCTGGGGGCTAAATCCTGCTGCCTGATGGATGCTGTGCCCTTTTGAAGTCCTTAGGCACTATGAGCTTTTCAAATGTAAAATATTATCAGTCCTGCTGAGTTCTCCACCACCACAGCTGTGGCACTGTGCAGCAGGCACAGGGACATGGCTCTCTGACTTTCCAGCTGTTTCCCTGCGTTCCAAGCAACATGAGAAACCTCAGCTGTCTCACGCACGCTCAGTCTGAAACCCAAGGTCTTCTGCCTTGTCAGCTCTGCCTTTAAGACACCAGCAAATGAGTTTTGTGCAGATCTCGTAAGCATCAATCAGAAAGAAAATCTTACCAATAGTACATTGTACTTTTCCTAAGAAAAGAGTTTTAACTTGGGATGTTCTACTTAGTTTTAATATTTCAAAGAGGTAAGATAAAGTTGGTTAACAAACAAGACTGCAAGTCCAGCTCGCCTGAGTTCCATTTCTTGTTGTCCTACTCAAATTTGGGCAAATGTTTTAAGGTGAAAAATGCAGGTTGGGAGATCCCAATGCAGAGTCCTTGCTTTGGTGCTTTATGGGGTTTTTGTGGGGTTTTTCATGATGCCACTCCAGTGTATTGCTGTGCAAGTGCAGGAATTCTACCTTGCTCTTATCTGCAGATCGTGAAGCTGCTACAGGTTGGATCTAAATAAGGAGCTGAGGCAGGGATGTCTGACTGACACAGTGCTCCACCATGTCCACACTCTCAGGATGGGGCCCTTTCAGGAACAGGAATGCTCTGTCATCTCCAACTTCCCCTTCCTCAACTGAGACAAGAGATAACTTCTACTTTATAAAGAGAAAAAACCAGTGAACTTGACCACTGCTAAAAATCCCACCAAAGCTCCTAATATAGATGAGCCTGGGATGTAAGATAAAGTCCCATGGCTTTAAAATTATTCAAGAGGAAGGCAGAATCAATGGAGATTGGTTTTTAAACCCCTTGTTCTTCATGAGGAAGACTTGAACATCAGAACTCTGTTGGTTGGTGCTGAATGTGGCTGTTGGAGCTTGCTGAGGAGCCCTAGATGCACAGAGGAATTAAATGGCTTGGAGGTTATTCATGACCTGGAGAACTGCAGATTATGAGCTGGAGCAGAATCAGCTGTGAGAAATTCAGCCTGAGAGTGGTGCAGAAACCACAGGGCTGTGACTCAGCTGGTGTAACTTCAGATGCCTACAGATACTGGGCTCCCTCTCTTCAGGGAGAGAAGTAGGTGCATACAAGGCAGGACTACAGCCCTGGTTTAGATATGTGCTTTAAGAGAGAAAAATCGTTTCCTAGGTATGTTACTTATCAAGAAAGGGAGCCTTTGAGTCACCAGGTCACAGCAGAGATCTCCTGACCTACTGCTGAAGGTTTCCTGCCTCATATCCCATGGAGAGCAGGAGACAGCACTGCAGCCAGGCAGCCAAGGAGGAGCACAGGGGCAGGGCTTGCATCTCAGTAAAATCCCCAGATACAGGCAGGAGCCAAGACACCAGCCTGAACCAAAGGTGGTGGGATGCAGGATGAGGGCTGTCCATAAGGTCTGGATGAGCAGTGACCTGATAACAGCATAGTGTGGCAGGCTAAAGAAACATGTTAAAGCTGCAAGTGTGACACTGGTTCATCCTGCACGACCCAGCTTCATCAGGGAAACCAAGCAGAGGATGTGCCCTGCAGGGATCTCTCATTCCTCTCCCT